GCACTACCATAGTCACTGTGGTAAAGATTTTTGGGCCTTCTGATGTAACTGTTTTCTTTGTTTTCTTGTTTATTATTCCATTGCCTCATGCTTCTGTTATGTGTGATTCTACAGCCACTTCACAGAACTCAGAAAAAGAACCTAATTAGGTTATCCCTAATTAGGCACAAAAACCCCTCTGTGCTGTGTTTCATATCTTCTTGATATTTCAGCAATGAAACAGAATTTCCATTATTGTAAAACTCTGCGTGTGAATGAGAAAAAAGTCCCTTACTTGTATTCAAAATCCTAGTATTGGGCACCACTTCATGATATTTGGGACAAGGGGGATCAAGTACTATCAAGTCAAGTGAGCTGTTTTCCTAGTATGTGGAAGAATATATTTCACAAAAAAACTCAGTGCGTGAAATGTGCTTCACCAAAATCCTTTTTCTAACAAATGCATGACAGTGCTGATCTTTCTTTAATACTCATTTTTAACTTTTTTTTTTTTTTCAGATTTTTTTCCTTCAGAAAAGAGTTAGAGACTTTACTGTTTACTTAACTTTCTCTGAATACCTTTGAAAAACAGGCAGAATTTTTTTCTATAGTAATTCAGGTCCAAGAACTGACAGCTTTCTGTATTTTCATGAGTTTTCCAATAAAGACTCTCTACTAATAATGTTTTAAACATTTTACATTGCGTTTATGTCATTACAGTTTCCCCCATGGCTAAGCATAAGGCATTTCTTGATCTGCATTTTCTGGGAGGTAAAAGTTTTAACGAAGTTATAGAAGATTCCTCATTGTGACATGTTATAAAATCGGGAGGAAAGGGATAAAGCTGCACACACTTTCCCAGCTTTCCAGGCAGGATGTCCACTTACTCTCATCAGAGAGCTGAATCTGTCCTTCTGTGGGAGTAATCAGAGCATTTGCCTAAGAATATTCCACCCATGGTAAAGCGCCCAAGGAAGTTATCTGTGGCCTCCAGACATCTCAAAGGTAGCACCATTGCTTGCCTCTCTGATTACTTTTGTATTTGTCTCATTATTTATCCCTTATTCGGGGAATATATTAAAATAGAAGTGACTTTCTTTTCTGTAACAGTCAGTCTGATGTGTTATGCATAGAAATTTTAAAATAGATTCTAATTGAGGTACTGAAAAGAAAATTTTCTGCATGTCAGGCACCCTCAATAGCAACCTTCCTTTTTCTCCATGTTGAAAAAGCAACAACAAAAGCAGCTTATAAATGTCTGTATTATCAAAATTGGGCACCTTCAACAGCCTGAGAAGGGCAACTGGAGACATGGAGCACAGCACAACTTCCCTCCACTGCTGCCAGGTGAACAAGCTGCTGTATGTCTGAAAGGACTGCTGAACCTATGGAAATCCCACAGGACTTTCTTCTGTGGCTCCCTGGGAACTGTGCCTACTCGTGGGAAAAGGTTGTCCTGAAATAGTTTGAATTAGGAGCAGAGATTCTTCTCGAATGCAGTAGTCCACCCTCCACAGCTACCCACTGCCCCTTTGAGGAACTTACAACACTGTCTAAATAGCAAACAACTAAATATGCAAGTTTACTTTTTCTTTTTTGAAATCTTAAGGCTGTCCCATTACTTAGCCCATGAAGTTCTGGAAGGTGTAGACTGAGAAGCTGTATTGCATAAAAGAAATTCACTTCTGAGGAGAAAATGCTTCTTTGCTCTGGAAACAGACTCCCCAAGCCAAGAGGATTTTAGGCAGGGTGGACTGCACGAAGACAAGCTGGATACTAACTATTCAGATGAGGTGTTGAAGGAACATTACTTGTCCAGTGGAGGAGGTGGTTGTTAACTTGATTAAAAAAAAAAAAAAATCGTTTCTGTCAGTCTCTGTTCTTCCTCCAGTGCTTAATGGTTTTCCAGGGCTTTCCACCATGCATGTGAGATGTGTAGAGAAGCTGTAGCTTCCCCTGAGCCACTGTGTAGTGTAATAACATTGCCTGGGAACAAGGAGGAACATGTTTTTTCTTTCATCCGGAGATATTCCTGGTGAGAGATGGGTGGGTGGCTCAGGCAGACTGAAAGGTGGCTCAGTGTGACTCCTGTTGTTCCAAAGTAAATCTGTTTTCCATTCCCGTCTCTGCCTTGTATGGATTGCAGAGATCCATTCACATTTAGCAGGGAAGTTTTCACTCAATAAACACTGCAGGAGCATTTCACAGTCTCAGCCTGCCACATGAGGAAGTTCTGTGTCTTTCTTGCTTGAGTTCTACTTCCAGGATGACAGTCTTGTACTGCCCGAGGATGTACCTGTCTAGATGATCATCCCCAGGGGACTGGGAACCTCTTGGGTAACTGGGGGCAGTTTCACTGGGAGCTGTGCTCTTTGTGCCCACATTTGGGCTTTGGTACTTAAGAGTTTTTAAATGTCACAGTGAGCAGTAAGCAGCAGGGAAACCTAATCTTGTTGGGGGACTAAGTGCATGGTACATTATACTGGTGATTTACTCATTCTTTAGGATTGTGTAGACTTGCCTACTTTTGGTGGAAATCCTTGATTTGTTCACGTTGTTCTCAAAGATGTAACCCAAAACTGGTTACTTCTCTGCATTCTTTTGTGTTTAATTCAGTTCATTCGAGATTCTGTCCCCGGAGGGGGCTGGGGGGTGGTGCATGTGTATATGCACACCCATGACTGCAATTTTGGCATGACCTTGGGTTTTGATGACACTAGTGCTGCTATCATAAAGAAATAAAGTAATTCCTCATGTGTGTATTTTGTCATTCCACTGGATGAAATGTATGTATCTTTAGGTGATCTGACCTGAACTGATTGCTCTCTCCTTGAGGAAAAGCACTGGTGTTACCCTGAGGCTGTCTTCTCTTTTCGAAACCTTAATTTCCGCACACTATAGTTTGTCTAAATAGGAGAAACTTTTACATTACCAGTAGGAAATGTGAGTCAGCTTGATTACCACCTGAGGTTATACGTGTATGTGTAAAATGTACCTAGATGGAATACATAACATAAACAGCCTTTTTATTTGTCACCTGCCAAAATGTCAGTGTGCCTGTGTGGTCAGTCCATTAGCGTTAAATGGGAGAATTTTTTCCCTGGGAACCATGTTCTGAAATAACTGATTGGGGTCATTAGTTTGTTTAATTTCATTGCTGCTGGTTTAGCTTACAAAAATGTGGGTGGACTTTCTTTTCTTTTTAACAATGTGCTTCAAGCAATACTGTTTTTCTTTAAGCTAAAAATATTTCTCTATAAAATGTCACATCTAGAATATCACATCTTTTGTTAACCTCTAAGGAAGCCTGAACTTTTGTACTAGAAATGAACAAGGTCACCAGAACAATTTGTTCTTTGTCTACCCTGTTACACATCAACTCTAAGAATTTCCAAAGATCCTCTGGACTGCTGGAAGCCAGCAATACATTCCCAAAAGGACCGAGGGACCAAGGCAGTGCAGTGAAGTCACATTGCCTTTTGCTGGCTATGGTCAGCCCTTTCCCTAGGTTCCATCCCAGTGATTATCCCATCATGGGATTTGATTTTTCTGGCATGACTTGTTTTCAGTAGACCCTGGGGGATTTTTCTGTGGTTTGTTTGGTTTTTTTGTGTGTGTGTTTGTTTTTTTTTTTTTGATGGCCTACTATTTTATAGGTATTTCTCCATTAATTTTCACTTATTTCCATCAAGGTGAGGCTGACTGGTCTGTGGGTTTATTCCTCTAGCTCCTGTGAATGGGCCTTTTTTTTTTTCCTTCGTTTTGATAGAAGGAAGGAGCAGTAAAAGAACTAGCTTAAAGTAAGGCTGGGATTTCTTTCAAATTGAGCTTGATAGTGGGAGAATACATTCTCCTCATTAACATCACCTGGAGACCAAGTAAAGATTTGATGCTGCAGTACAAGCAACAGAACACTGTGGATTTTATAAGTCATGATCATGAGTTTACTGCAGAAGAACATTTGTAGTCTTTTAAATTGGTGTCTATTATATTATATTACATTTTAGGGCACTTTAGGGCACTCTTCAATTACTTCCAAGGTGCCAAACTGAATGTCTACCCTTCTTTCATGAGTTTGTCCTTCTGATTCTTGTCCTTCTGAAACTCGGGTTTCTTGTTTCGTCGGCGGAAAATGATTTGTAGCGTCATGTGGTTTGCACATCATCAGCTTCAGGGGCGGTTTTAGTACGTACTTTCTAGTTTCAGCTTGGGATCACTAGTTTTCGTGGACTGCTAGGCTCTATGGATCTAACAAACTATGATTTATGCAAGCATACTTTGAAATTAATTTGTGAGATTTTCACTGGAATTTAGTCATAAAGGGTGGGGGGGTTTGCTGTGGTAGTGCAATAACTAAATGAAACCATTTTTAGTAGTTTTTGGTATGTAGAATGCACAAAACTGTATTGTTCTTGAATGCAGCAACTCAATAAATATGAGAGAAGACAAAAGATTTCCCCTGTCAATTCTCAAAATACAGACTGTTGTACTTTTTTTCTATGTCAATATTAACTTTCTCTGTGCAAAGCTTCACACAGCACAGGAGAAAGTCTTAGAGAACAAGATCTAAAATACTCCCTGAGACTTCAGGTGTCACAGGGTTGTCCCCTTCCAGAATAAAAAAGCCTTTGCCTTGGTTGTCATTGCTGTAAATTCAGTGGAGACTTGTGGTTGTGCTTGACACCAGTTCAGTATCTTATGGCAAGGTAGGTCTATTCTAAAGGCCATCCACTCTATTTTCAATGCAAATTAATAAAGAATTCTTCTGTATATTAAGAGGAAACCAAAGTGCTGCCTTGTCCCAGCTGTGACTACAAGGCAGGAAAACACAATTGGATGGAGGAGGCTCATTGGCAAGTTACAGGGAGAAGTTGCAGTTCTGGATGTGATAGAAAAATAGGTGAAGTGAGAGAATGAGATATAGATGGGAAGTGGGGAACTTGTTTTCTTTTATTTCTTCCTTTCTGCCTTTCTTCTGGCTGTGTTTAGAGCCTTATGTTGTCTGGTTTCTTTCTCCTAAGGAAGTCAGGAAGGCTGTCCTGGCAGTGAGATGAGGGATGAGGGAGACAGAGGTTGATAATTTGCTGATTGCACCCAGCCCAGGGGGAGAAGCACAGGCAGAAGTGCTGGTTCAGGACTTCCGATACTTCTGGCACTGATTTGGCTGGTTTGTTTCTTTTTTTTTTTTAATAAATCATCTTTTCAGTTCCTATTAGAAAACCAAAAAGCCTGACTTTGAATTAGGCAGATCTCTTTCACTGCTAAAGCCAATAAAGAGAAAGATTTTGTTTAATTCAGAGGTATTCAAATACTTTTGCCAGGTACTTACTGTTTGTGTTTTACAGATATTCATATATTACTGGGACTTGGCTAAAAAGTAAGAACAGATATTACTGCTCCCCTCTACTCCTTCCCAGTATTAAAGAAGAGAAGCTTTGTAGGTATGTATGGTTAACGTGTCTCTCTTTGTCTAGTGTTTTTCCTACTTTACATTAGGTTTGAGAAGCATTTACTTAAAAAGATCAACTGAAATTGGTATGTAAGGCTTGAATATATATATATTTATGCACTATTTCAGTAATGACGAATCACCTGATAACTTTGATTTTAAAATGTACGATGATAACATTTGAAGTTAAATTTGAAGTAGCTACTCCACAAATTATTTCTGTTACTTTGTAATATTATCTTAAGGTCTACTCCTTAAAATGGGTTTCTTTGAATGGATCAGGGTCTTTTTTTCACCTTAATTCCGCTGGTATAGTAGAAATATAATAAGAATTAAGAAGAAGATAATAAGAATCTTGCATTGTATAATACCCTGCTGTACTCAGTAGTGTGTATATTGACCTGAAGCTAATGCTCTCTTCCTTGGTTAGCAGCCTGATTTTTCAGTTAGATATTTAAACACAGGAACCAAAGAGTCAGTCATCCTTGTAATTCACCTTCTTTGGTGCTTAAGAAACAGCAAAGAAAGGATTATCATTATTACAGGCAGAGCACTAGTTTGGCTGTGTTAAAGTTGTGAACTGTTTTTTGTCAAAGGTTGACTGTCTCCTGCATGCTTTAAAATGCATGTTCTTACACAGATTGCCTCACAAATGAATGTATCTCACAGCTATGACGAGAGTCATTAGAAACAGGGATTTTTCTTACTTTATTTTAATCTGGTTGAAAAGAATACTAAGGGAGTCGTTCCTATTACAGAAAGAACATCATATAATTTTTCTCACTGAAAGTCTCCAGTGCTTCCCCTCAATTTGGTCTTATTTCTGTCTGCAAAACTGTGCTGTTAGTAAAGCTGGCATGAGGTAGATGTTTGTTTTTACTGGCAGGGTATACATATCAAAAGGTTTTGCTGCAGAGAAGACTCCAGATGTCCCCTGCTGATCCAAACCAGGTTGGATATTGTACATATTTTCCTTGGAGAGTGAAACTCTCTTCTCTGCCTAAGCAGGGGCGACATAAGGAGCTTTTCTGGTGGAAGTCTGGCATTGCTGCTTCTGCGTGGGAGTGGGAGCTTGTCCTGGGCTTCACTCACATGAAGGCGTCGTTTATAAAGAAAAGTTAATGTGTTTATCACAAACGCTGGAAAAGTTCGAATTCTGCTGGAAAGATTGGGACAGTTTCTGTCTTGCTAGAACACGGTATTCAGCAGTCTTCTTCATTTTGTAATGTCATAAATTCCAGAGAAATGATTCCTAAGCATAATGGAGTCTCAGTCGAATAGCTGTCAGAAAATACCTTAAGAATCATCTTGGGCGTGTGAGAGCTGCTCCCAGGGCACAGTGTGAACTCCTGTTCTAAAGAGAACACATTTCCTTCTTATGTGTCAGAGGTGTCTGTGGCTTTTCTCCATAATGCCATTACCACCCCTCTGTGGCAACAGACTCCTGATTTCATTCTCATCGTGTTCTTTATCTGTAGATTACCATGTGTATGGTCACTAGATAAATGCCTCCCATCCCCTGCTCTCGTTAGGGAATAGAAGTTTCATCCTCAAATCTGATTATCTGCTGAACTAGCTGTGCTCTGGAGCTGATGCTTTGGAAAAAGTATTTTCAAACCTCTTTGGTTTTCCAAATGTGTTACTGATGTATGGGTTATTATCCCATTTAACAATAAAACACGAAGTTTTCAAAGGCAACCAGCATTTTCCCAGGTAACCAACATTTTCCCAGTAACCAGTTTGTTCTTCCAAGTATCCTAATTCTGCAGGTACCTTTGGGTAATGCATTTTTCTTAGTGACAGGTAAATGTTTGTTGCCTTATGTGCTCTGCACCCAGTTCAGGCAACCCACAGGTGAGGATGAGGTTCCAGGTGACTTAAAAAGGACCACACGTCTCCTGTATTTCTAATTATGCTGATGAGTCCACAGAGAATCATTTTGATTGAAGGAGTTAATACTGGATAAAGAAACAGTACATAATACAGACAATCTGGAACCACACAGGTGGTTCACTACACTGTGGTCTGAACAGGCTGGCACTGAGCTTTCAGGAGTCCTTGTTTTATACCCCGTGCCCTACCAAGGTTTGTGGAGTCTTTTTCAACAAATTAAAGATCCGGGTTGTACGTTGACAACAATCCTGGAAAGCACCTATCCTGAACTAGTCTGCCATCGTATCAGACTGATTTTATTTGGGGATTTATTAGGAAGCATAATGGAAACATACTTGAAGACTTGCAAATGGATGAGAAGTTCCGACTGCCATAGCACAGTGCACAGCACAGCTCACCCTGCTCAGTTTGTTGTTGTGGAAGAAAGCAAAAGCAAATAACATATGGATGCAATTTTTACACATTTGTACAAGCCCTTGACAGTCAGATCTGATTTCTTCTAGCAAAGACAAGAAAGAATGTCTCTTGCACCTATCCTGCCTTCGTCTGTAATTGAATTATAATCACCCTCATTGCTCTTGTAGAGGAAAGCAGATGGTAAAATATTACTTCAGAGCGTTTTGGGGAACACAGGATTTTTCTTAAAGGTTATTAGTGCTTCTACTGAAACATTCTAGAGGTGACTTTAAGAATATTCTTAGGATTTCTAATGCTAATACAGAAATAACAGGGAAAGGGTGTTATTATTGCATTTTTATTGCAAACTGGTAAAAAAGGTTAAATCCATTCAAGCTATCACTTAATCAGATGTTCTCTGGTTCACTTTTTCAGGGCAAGGTAGGTCAAAACAGAGTGTTCATAGCTGAATTAAGCCCTGTCACAATAAGAAAATAGGTTTATTTGTGGGAGATTTGATAAGAAGTTAATAGTGGATTTGCTGCTTCTTGCAAGTAAAAGAAATATAGTGCTAATTAATAGATTTTTGTAAAAAAAGTTTTTTCTGGTGCACCAATGGATAAACGTGTGCTGAATAGAAATTTTAACACCAGTGCTGGTACTTGTTAGAGGAATATATTCAAAATAATAACAGGGCTTGCCAAAGAGCAACTTGAGAGGTGATTTTCTGTTTTTGTGCAGCTAATTAGGCACAGAAATGAAGCGATGGTGCCGGGGTTTTCCACATGGCTGACAAACACACAGAAAATTTCAGCCGCTGAAATTGGAAATAAAGACAAATTCAGTAGTTAGCTAAATGTGTTGGGCATAGGGAGATGTTTGGTTGGGGTTTTTTAACTGTCAGGTTTTGCATATTTTGATTTCGCTGAAGCATTGGTAATTTCCTTTGAGCTGGTGAAAAAAGTCAGGATTTGGTGAAGAGAGAAACTGAAGTAGTACAAAAAGTCTTCAGTAGCTGGCAGAGAGCTGCTGAAAAGAGCTACAGTAGTGTTTTGGAAGTGTAAGAACAGTCTGAAGAGGCATAAAATCCTTTGATGGGGTCACTTGTTGACAAAGCTCTTAGGAATGACTAATAAATTGAAGGGGTGAAAAGAAAACAAAACTCTTGTTCTCGATCCTCATTCGTAGAGTTTAGATTTAATCTTATCATTGACTGAGATTTCCACAAACTTAACATTAAAATATAGTAAGCCATCAATTTTTTTTCCTTGCTTCGTTATCGGAACAGCAAAAATCTTATTTCTTGCAGTTTTACCATGTGTAAATTGGAGCATTTGAACAGAGATGGAATCTGGCATAACATACTCATGTGGAACTTTGTCTTGATTTGATAGCATGTCCCCAAACTGGACAAGTAGCACCGTCCAGATTTCAGAATGTTATTTCACAGAATTCCATGGCTTTTCAAATAATAGTTAAAGAATTTTCTCTGTTGTTCACTGGAAGGTAGAGGTGACTGTCATTTTTCCTCCCTTCTCAGAAAATTAATGAAATAATTAATAGAAAATACTGACTATAACATATATATATATATAACCAAGACTAATGACTATATATATAACCAACACTAATTACTATAACTTTTATATATATATATATATATAACCAAGTTCTGGTTAATAAATTCAAAGTAATCATGTTAATTAGCTCATTGACAGTTTGGTCACGGTCAGTTTTAAAATGATTCTATAATACTAGAAAGGAAAACTTATTTTAGGAACTAATCACTTCATTCATGAATTTTATTTCTGTGAAAGTGAGAATTGGAAAACATTCATTAACTGTGAGTCATGGCATAATGCAATCATGCCAGAGTCTGTGGAATCCCTCAAAAGTTGTTGAACAAAGTTGTAAAGTAACTAATTTGTAATTGTGAATTTGAGAGGAGATTAATACAGCATCAGCTACTGTTGAATCTATTTCCATAAACTAGATACCGCTTCTTTTCTCTTGTCCTTTTAAAAGTATTTAAGTAAAAATATGGTTTTATACCTCATAATATTTACCAAATGCTTGCAATTTTTATCTGTATAATTCTTATCTGTATAATTTGTATATCTGTAAGCAGAATTTCCTTTTTTTTCTGTGTTTTTATAAAATACATAGGAGAAAGAATTTACTTGGTAAATGCTATGTATGAGGAAATAAATAAAGGTAAAATTTTAAATTCATATGTCCTGTGGAAGGAAGAAGATTGAAGCAAGGTATGTTTTCCTTACACAGGTCAGAAAAAAAACCAAATGCACGGGAATAGTCAGTGCTGCTTCAATTCAACCTAAAGATAATGAAATGGCAGCAAAAAAGCTACAGTAGGAAGAGAAGAGAATTTGTCATGTTCCTGATGGATTGTGATGTGTAAAATAGAATTGGAGGTGGCAAGGGACTGTCAGGAATTGAAGAAAGCTCTTACAGAGGCCTAAATAATGCTTGGCAAATAAAAGATAATAAGAATCTTGGTAAATGGTCAACTGACCCAAGGTGGTATGTTCTGGGGCTGGTTATAAATGAACTGTGGAAGGGGAATGTGTTTCCATGGTGTTCATGATGTTTTGGTCAACTTGAATAGAAAATGATACAATATTTGTAATCAGGGTAAAAGAAGCAGGGGAAAATAAAGTCTCGTAAAATAGTTTTCTCTGGGGT